TAGCCCAGTCGGGTTGTCATTTAACCGGGAAAAAATTAGGGACCACAATTTTATTGTTCTAACCTTTAGGGGGGGTCAATAGTAGTGTAAATTCAGAATCGCGACTGAATTCCACCCCTGCGTCAGCCGCCATCTTGATTTTAAGGAAAAATCGTTTTTGCTCAATATCTCAGCCATTTTCAACTTTACAACAAAAATGGTAAGGACTTAAGTTGTTGCAAATGCGATTTCCTACAACTTCTTTTATTACAAATTTTATCGTGCGATCGATATTTTTCAAGTTAAGAGGGAAAATAGTGACAAAGTATAATTATTGAATTATCTCGTTTGTTATTGACTATACGACATAAATGTACATAAACAAAGTTGGAAAGAATTATATTTTCTACAGTTTTGATCCCTTTGATTTTTTCGCTACTACCAAAATTTAAGGTCGTACGCCTATGGCAAGCCTAACTAAACTCAAGGGATCAACATACCATAGGCCTGACGTCTCCGCAAGCGTAGGACCTTAAATATTGGTTATAGCGAAAAAATTAAAGAGATCCAAATTGTAGAAAATATAATTCTTTCCAACTTTGTTTATGTACATTTATGTCGTATATTCAATAACAAACGAGATAATTCAATAATTATACTTTGTCACTATTTTCCCCCTTAATTTGAAAAATATCGATCGCACGATAAAATTTGTAATAAAAGAAGTTGTAGGAAATCGCTTTTGCAACAACTTAAGTCCATACTATTTTTGTTGTAAAGTTGAAAATGGCCGAGATATTGAGCAAAAACGATTTTTCCTTAAATTCAAGATGGCGGCTAACGCAGGGGTGGAATTCAGTCGCGAGTCTGAATTTACACTACTATTGACCCCCCTAAAGGTTAGAACAATAAAATTGTGGTCCCTAATATTTTCCCGGTTAAGCCCTTTTTTTGTCTAACCTGACTGGAGTATAAACTCGACCAAGCAAAGTGTTAAACGCATTCACACACGCACAAACGACAATGGAATGCACGGCCAACATTGTTCACCGGCACGTCCGTCCGACTTTAGGGTCTCGCTAGATGCGTATCGAATAAGTTGATCGATGCGAATCTTCAGATCAGACACTGACTAAATTGATGTCGCGTATCCAAAGAGATTACAATATCTCGTAAACCGAGCCCCAAATCAAAATCTTACAAGAGTGAGAAAATTAGTATAAAACGCCGCTTTACCTAAAAAAAATATTTAGAAAGCATAGGCGTACTCAAAAAGAAAATAGGGGGTCCATGGGTACTGCAACTCCCCTCCCCTCCGTTCGCGCTTTGACATTTTAAACCAAAATTGCACAAAAAGTGTGCCGATTAAGATCAAAATATATGCTAAATTTCAAAATACATATCTCTATAATCACCGGAGTTATCAATAAAAAAACATTTTTTAAATTTTAATCTTGACACCCTATATTTTGAAAATGGGACTCCGAAATTAAAAGTGACCTAAGAAAAGTCTGTAGTGTAACTAAAATTTGTTTGACTAAAATTACATAAAAGAGAATCCGGCCTACAGCCTAACCTAACCTAACCTAACATTTCCGATCTCTAAAATAACCAGTGGATTATTTTACTGAACGGTAAACAGAAATTATGCCATTTTTGAAGAGAAATACGTTCCATTATCATACTTTGCTGCATCATTTCTCTAGAGTTCTCCAAAAAGATGTGTTACCATTTAAATGACAGAAATATTCTTTGTAAGATTAAAAAATAATATATCGCAGTGCTTTTTTTTCATTTTTTTTGTTATGGGCCATTTTGATCACATTCTTATGTAAAGAATGTAATTCTTAATAATAATCTTAGTAATTCTTAAAAATAAGCAAAAAGTAAATTCACCATTTCCGAAATATAATCCCTCAATTTTTTTTTGAAAAAGGAAAAGTTAATATTTCAAAAACGCGTAATAACTTCACAAAATTCGATACAGTATTTTATTTGCTACATTAGTACTTAACTTGCAAAATTAGGTTCGTAATTCTGCGTTTTAATAGCCAATAAGGTAGAAGCAATACGATATTCTTTTTATGGTGGGTCCGAAATTATCGAAAATATCTTAATAATAACGCAAGATCAGTTATTTCGAGCACCTTGGCGCCAGTACAATTTTTCTCGGTGTTTTCGGGAGTCGCTCGCTACCGAATTTCTATTTTTACTTTGTTTTGGAATCTCTGTTTAGACGTCAGAAACAAAACGTCTAATCAAGCTTGTGTGTGTCAACAACCGTGATTCGGATTCGTGCCAGAATTAAATATATTTTTTGTACTTTGCACCTCACCAAATATTAGAAGTATTATCAACAGACTTAGCGTGTTCAACTTGTTTACTTTTTTTGATCTGTCACTTATGTCAGTCACGAACAGTGTTGCCAGATGAAAAAAAATATATATGGTATCCGACACTTGAAAAAAATGGTATTTTACTGAAAAATATGGTATCTTGATAATACAAAAATAACAATGTTTTATACATAATCAATAAATAAAAAAATAACAGTAATATAGAATTTGCATTTTAAGCTCTATATTTAAGTGACAAAAAACGGGTCTATTTCTGGTCCTAACACTTTTGGTTAAATTTTAACGTTAAGGCCACAGTTAAAATTTTAACCTCCCGTTGTTTAACCATATATATATATATGTGTGTGTGTGTGTGTTTAACCCGATACTGTATTCTGTAAAAAATTAAAGGGTTTATTTTAACCAAATATGTTAAAATTCCGCGGGACCAAAATAGATGCTGTTAAAAGTTAACGGCTTGACAAATGGTATAATTGATGTCTAATATTTATAACATTACAATGACCCTTCAAATTAAATCATTCCAAGCTTAATTTGCAACCACAATTTCATGTGGCTGCAATTTGTTGTTTAGCAAAATATTGCTGACTTCTGAAAATCTACTGGATCTGTTTTTTGCCGTGCGTGAGGCACGTTTCTTATTTTCATCCCCCATAACTCGGCTAAATGCACGAGTTTCATACATGAGCCACGTGTTTTAGAGAGTAGAGTAGTGATGTGCCATGTTTCGTAAATACCTTTTATAGCAGCACATGAAATAAAAATTTTTTGTTAAAAATATGGTAGTAAAATGGTTTCTACAACCAAAAAATGGTAGAAAAATGGAAAATGGTATCCTCAAAAAACTTATAGGTATGATAGGTGAAAAAATGGTATAAATACCATAAAAATGGTATATCTGGCAACACTGGTCACGAAGTTCTAGCATTAGCCCATAGATTAATGAGATTTTACAGATCAACAATTCTCTACTTTCCACCAACTCGCGACAGCAGCGTCTCTTTCGGCGCGTTCCCGTACTATAAGGGGGGGGGGGGGCGAACTTCGTTAGATGTGTACTTAAAATGAATATTATTTAGTTTTATTTAAGGCGCGTAATTGTAAATTAACTTTTTCTAGATTGTAAATTGCGAAATTACCTATATTAGTGATTTTTTTATCTAACGCAAGAATTGCAACTTTAAAATGTTATATTTAAATTTCATTCAAAAACAGATTTCAGATAAATAAATAGACCAGGGTCGATAATTTTTGAAACCAAAAAAAATTGTAGTAGGATGAAGCCCATTGGAAAAGAAAGAGAATATAACAGAAATGAAAGGAAAAATAATTTACGGGCGATCTGAGGTCGGGAAGTGAGCTGAGGGGGTGAGTTTTTAAAGGTAAAAAACGGTTTCCCTTGATTTCCAGAAAAACTACAAGTCTTATGGAAAAAAGTTAAATGAGTTGTAGGTAATAAAAAGGTCTACAACTTTTGTATTTACACTTTTTTCACATAACCTCAAAATTTATGTGAAAAATTCAAATAACCAAGTTTTTGGTTTTTTTTTTTTACCAAACAAATTTTTTTTTCACGAAATTTGGTGAAAACTTACCTATTTGTGTCCCAAACACGTTGTAATTTTTTTGATTTGTAATATTTATTTTTTCACCTTATTTTTACTTAATATCGAAAAAGCACTCTAATTTTCAATCGAAAATTCTCACGTCAAAATATCTGCTTTTTTAAAAACGTCGGTGGGCTTTTTCTTCGTTGAAATCTCTATTTTCTGATGGTGTAAAAAAATATATACATTACTATGGTAAGTTTTCTCAGGAAATTTGAAAATGGATCAAAGTGCCGGTTATAGCAAAGCGTAAAAAATAATATTAGATGTTATGTTTTATTATCTTTTTTCAATATTTTCTATAATTTGTTGCCTTTTACGCAGACACGCCAATGGATTTTCGTTCCCGGCACGCTTCATCCCTCTTACTAGTCCAAAAGCTAGCGATGAGTCACTCTATAATTTCGACCGCGGAGTATAGAAGTATGTGGCAATGGCCTACGAGATCAATGGTTCACTGAATGACTATATTATGGTGAATTTTTGTTTTGACGGGAACTTACGTACGTTGATCTAATTTGCCTAATTTATTTTTGTTTGTTAAAAGTCAAGTGAGCGAATGTTTTTTAAATTATTTACAATTTTGTATTATGTGTATACACCACTTATATAAAGTAATGAATAAACTGAATTTTTTTTGGTAAAAACAATGAGTCGATTTTTATTTTTAACTATTGGTATTCATAGTGAGATTATGTATACAGGGTGATAGTTTTTTACTGTTTTCATAAAGTTCCTCAGCAAGTCTGCAGGGTGTAACTTATGAAACGAGAAATGCTTAGCTTCCGAGATACTGGGTGTTCAAGTTAAAAAAATTTTAAATACAGTGTGACCCATTTTAAAGGGAAATAATCTTGTAGAACAGGATAAAAGAGGAGATACTGGACAATTTTTAATTCAGAAGGAAATGGCATTATTATAATTAGCCAAAGCCAGTCAGATTTTGTTTTATTTTCTCATTTTTTAATGGTGGTGCTTCCATTTTAAAATAATCTCTATCATATTACTTCAAATTCCTGACTTTTTCAAGGGGACACTGTCTTTGCCCAGGGTGCTGCCGCCACACCGATTGACCTGCTGAAAGCTATGACGGAGGTAGGCAAAAAGAAAAATTTAAAGGACGTCAACGTCTGTCACATGCACACCGAAGGTCCAGCGGCGTATACCGATCCTTCCTGTGAGGGTATTTTCAGGTATTGCCTGGAAATTTTATTTGCGTATTTAATTATTTATTTATTTTGTACGCAGGTCGAATTCGTTCTTTATGGGGGCCAATGTGAGGAAAGCCGTAGCTGAGGGTAGAGGGGACGCCATACCGATATTTTTGTCAGAGATCCCGTTGCTCTTCTACAAGAAGATCATCCAACCTGATTTTGCTGTGATCCAGGTAATAATTGCTAACTTGAATTAACGAAATTAGGAACTGAAAACGGAGCAGTTGATTGGCCGAATTTAAAAAACCCGCCGTAATTTTCAAAATCAACCAATCACGTGTTCTGATTTCAGGTTATATTTGAAAGGATCAGTCTTAGAATTGTTACTGAAAAAATAACCCATCATCAAAATCAGATTTGCGTTAAATAGAGCTTACTTTTACGGTAACTTAAAAAAAAAAGAGAAATCACCTACGCCCATTTGTTCCCAAGATAACTTTTTTTATAATGTTAATTGTTAATTAACTATTGGACGTACCGGGCCAGGATTTTGGAGACAATTAAATAAAGGGTTAAACGTTTGAGGGTTGACTATAATGAACGGCCTGCACGCAGGAGAAGGAGCGCCGGGCCCGCGCATGCGTAGGAACGCCGCCCTCGGCCGCGCGCGAGATTTTTTTTTAACCGAATTTGAAACGTTCAAGACAAAAATCTCGCGCGCTACTGAAAGCGATGTTCACACGCTTGCGCGGGCCCGTCGTTCCTCCCGCGTGGAAGCTATCTACTAATAATTTTTTCACGTTCAAACTCGAATTCGACTGGAGTATTAATTTTGATGAGAAGTTTATTTTTAATTCTACTAATATATAATATGATTTGAAAAGTATGGTAATACAGTGTGATTCATTTCAAATGATAAATATTATATAATTTTTTCAATGAGCAGTGACTATTTTTTCATGGAATGGTGGTACAAACCATATTGAGATGATACAGTCAGATTTTATATAAAAAAATTAGCTAAACAGTTATTTTTTTCGTCAAATTTAACACTGAAAAAGAATTTAATGTAGGCTTTTGTAACTCAAAGTAAATTCAAATCATATGTAATTTAATAGACTTTTTTAAGCTTTTATCTTTCGAAGGAAAAAAAACGTATTAAATCAGTCACTAAATACCTTTTCTTACAAGGGTGTTTCCATTTGAAATGGGCAATACTGTATAAACAGAATTATGCCTTTAGGTATCTCCTCCCGACAACCATGGTTATTGCAGCTTGGGAACCAGCGTAGACTGTGTTAGAGCTGGAATGTCCCACTCAAAAATAATTATCGGTAAGTTTGTTTAATTCAAAATAAATGAATATACAAGGTGTCGCTGAAATAATTGTCAAAATTTTAACCACATATGTAACCTTTCAAAAGCTGCTACTTTTTTCAGGCCTACAAGACCTCTATATAGCAAAAAAATAAGATTCAAAATTTAAAAAACCAAATGAACCAAGTTATTGGAGAAGTTAATGCTGTTAAAAATCGATTAAATCTACATAATTTTCGAATCCCATAACGGAGAAATACTGTTAATTTTGTCGCGATTATTTTATGTTTGCAAATGCAATTTTTTTCAGCTCAGGTTAATCCACGTTTACCAAGGACCTTTGGTGACGGGATAATTCACATTAGTCACATAGATTACGCCGTTAAAGTAGATACCCCTCTTCCCGTTCACGGAGGCAAACCACCCACCGAAATAGAAGCTAAGATAGGAAAAAACATCGCCGAGAATTTGGTTGACGATGGCGCGACACTCCAAATGGGTAAGTGACAATTCACAATACACAAATTTAGAAATTTACATTTAAGAAAAGAAAAAGGATCTTTTGCAAAAGACAGCAAACTTTAACTTTTTTTATTTAATTTATATTAAGAAAAGTACTTAAATGCGCTACAAATAAATAATTACAGATAATAAACTTTTACTTTTTGATAGTATTTATTTTTACAGCAACTTTGACAATTTTTTTTATTGACACGTTTCGTCTCTAAAATAAATAACACTTTCATACAGGGTGATTCAGAACTTATCCAAAACAAATTTTTAAATGTACTCTTACAAATACAATTTTGTAAAATAAAATCGGCAGTTTGAAAATGATTTAAAAATATACTTCTGCATGGCACTGGAAAATGGTCCACTGTAGAACCTGACCTTTGCACAAGGCAAAGCATGCAGTCGGCGACCGGCACGGCGACAATGTGTAGTAAAAAATGAACGGACGAAAAATTGAAAGGAAAGAAATAAATAAATTTTTATAGCTCCTATTTTATATCAGCAAATTCAACTGTTTTTGTCGCTATTGTTATTATTAATTAATAAAATTAATTTGTGGTTTTAATTAATAAAATAATTTGACATACCTGATGTTACAACAACTTTTCAAAGTTTTGTCCACAGACGTGATATTTGGGCCGCCTTTTCCAGTTTGTATGAACTAACACAAATGTTGTCTTGCTTCACCATAGCAGAAATGTTATCTTCCTTCGCCATTAAACCATCAACTCCGAGTTGCTATACACGTAAACCATTTTTAAGACTTGAAAAACTAATGTAAACACTATCGCCAAAGTCGCTAGAGACTACTGTACCACATCGATGTAAGGGTTGAATATACTACAACTTCAATATTTTTTTTCTCGGAATAAGGATTTTACAAACATTTTTTTACGATATTGATTCCATTTTTCATGACATCCATTTCCAAATTTTTTTAATAAGGCACAGACACATGTCATATAGGAAAAATTTGTGTTATTCAATTTTGATAAATATCAATATTAGTAATTGCATTTGTCATAATTTTTTTTTAATGCTATCTGCTTTTCCGACTTTCAAAGAAAATTTAACAATAGTGTAGAATTAAGTAAAATTTACATATTTTTCTGTCGTTTTGTTTATTCTTTACTTGCTTGACATATTAACAGTTTAAGAACAGAATATTCATTTTCATTTAACATTACCATTATCACATGTATATTGCTGCTTTATATTAAAATTTTTCATTAAATTCACACTAGAAATGTAAAGGAGTATCTAAGTACCAATAAAAAAATACTGCAATTAAAGTACTACTCACAATTTGCTTCAATGTTTATAGTACAAAAATTATAATATGTCGGAAAAGTTACAGTTTTAACATAAGTTCGTTGAAGAAAATTCTATATAAAGTAAAGATTATTTGTTTATTTATTTATTTATTTATGATATTACTATTTTTCAGTTAATGCATGGTATGCTATTAAATACATATTTGTAGTGATAGTTAACTTAATCTTAAAACTAAATATTTGTGCAACCATTTGAAGAAAAATTGTTGCTTTAACTACACATAATGATGATCTAACTGCAAATATATTTGTGCCGCTCCCATTTAATAAATCATAGTTTTTTTTTTAACTGCACAGTTTAATCATTGCGATTTATTTGCATTATCAAACTGCGAAGTATCCAACTTATGGATGGAAAATCGTATGGTTTGCGCAGATATTTGCCCCACGTGGATGTAGATATTTTAACTGCACAGATAAATTATGATTTAGCTGCATGAATCAAATTACAGATTTATAATAGATGGAGAATCGTATGTTTAGCAGATACGTGTGTCGTATCCATTTAATAAATATTAGCAACTTTTAAGTGCACAGTTTAATCATTACTATTTATTTGCACATAAAACTGTGCGACATATGGATGGAAAGTCGTCTGGTTTGCGCAGATATTTACCCCATGTGGATGAAATAAAATCGTAGATATTTTTAACTGACCAAATACATTATTACGATTTAACTGCTCGGATCAAACTGCAGATTTATGACTTGTTTATGGGAACTCGTATGGTTTCCGTACATCCTTGTCATTTAATAAATCCTAGCTGTTTTTAAACGCACAGCTAAATTAGTACTGTTTATCTGCACATATCAAACTGTGCAAATAAGTCTAACATGTGGACGGGAAATCGTATAGTGTGCCATGTGGATGAAACAAAATCCTAACAAGTTTTAACAGTATCGACATAATTTATCTGTGCAGATAAATCTGTATGTTTTTTTTTATTATATTTCTATTGTATGAATGGAAAAAGCAATTTTTAACTGCACATTTAATTTATTACAATTTATTAGCACAGTTCAAGCTGTGAAGATTTATCAAACGTGGAATTGAGAGTATGGTTTTCACAGTTATATGAACCAAGTCGATGAAATAAATAATGGAGAGTTTAAATTGTACAGATAAATCACCAGGATTTATCTGCACTGATTGCAGTAAATCAGACGTGGCAAATTGTATAGTTTGCACAGATATTTGTGCCATGTGGATAAAATAAGAAATTTTTAACTGCACTTACATAGTCATGATTTATCTGCACGATAAAACTGTGCAGATTTTTTTGACTTGTGATTTGCTTGTACCGATATTTCTGTCTTGTAAATGGAATAAATGGTAGTGGTTTTTAACCGTACAGTTAAATCGTTATGATTTCTCGACACAGCTCAAGCAGTGCAGACTTATCTAACGTGTCGATTGCAGACTGTATGGTTCCCACATGCATTTGTGCCAATTGTAAGGAATAAACCAGCAATTTTTAACTGCACAGTTAAATCGCTACATTTTAAACGTGTGTTGTCCATTTTATTAAAAATAATTTATGTTTATTGTCTTGGAAATAAGAAATTTAACGGAACACCATTTTAGGTATTGGAAGCATTCCCGATGCAGTATTGGCTGGTTTGACCAACCACAAAGACCTCGGTATTCACTCGGAAATGTTCGCCGGTGGCGTCATCGACCTGGTGAACCGAGGTTGCGTTACCAACAGCCGGAAATCTATCCACAGGGGCCGTATTGTGGGATCGTTCTTGATCGGAACTCAGGATTTGTACGATTTCGTTGACAATAACCCTTTCATTGAAATGCTGGTGGTCGACTATGTAAATAGTACAAGTAAGTCAATGGCTGCTCCTATTTACTTAAAATATACAGGGTGTCTCACGAAGAAATTCGCAAAGTACAAGCAAACATTTCTTAGTTAAATATTACCGTAGTATATATTTTTTGTTTAATTCATATTATTTTTGTATATTAAGAGATACATTTTTTAAAGTGAATTGCGCTTCCTGTTGAGACACACTCTATTTTTATCCGTAACGATTTAAGAAAATATAGTGTGTTATTTATTAAATTTCAGGCATTATCGCGAAGCAGCCAAGGATGACTGCGATCAACTCGTGCATAGAAGTCGACTTGACGGGTCAGATCTCGTCCGATTCCATCGGAACCAGGATGTACTCGGGCTTCGGGGGCCAAGTAGACTTTATCCGAGGCGCAGCTGAAGGTCTGGACGGGTTAGGAAAACCGATCATCGCCTTGCCTTCCGTTACGACCAAGGGAGACAGCAAAATCACACCCATACTCAAACCAGGTGAGTTGGAAGTTGTAATATTTGATAATTTACTCGAGTATATCGGATACTTCACTTTAAGCGATAGATGGCGCTGTTTCCATTCGAATCGTATAATCATAATTTTGAATATCTTGGATGTGATTTGTATTTCATGTTTCTTTGTCATTGTATTTTATATTATGGCACTCGCCTTAGGTTCCTGCAGTTTTTAAAAATATTTTAACGGCTATTTTGTCGCTTTTCCAACCTCCAAAACGATTAATTGTAATGATTTCTGCTCATAATCTACTGAGAAGGTACATCTCCAAATGCCAAAACACAAAATCACTCAAAATCACGAAATACCGATCTTTGTGAAATTCTGTAAATGGAAGATGAAAGTTTCCGACCTCAACTCAAAGATGGCAGCACTCGTAAACAAAAGCCAGGGAATGTGTTTGCGCATCTTTTGAATGGTACTTACCAAAATTTCAGCCAATTTGGACGCGCATTTGTTTTACAACCGTTTGAGTGAGGCGATGTGAGTGTTTATGAAAATGGAAAAAATGGAATATCAAGTTGTCATTAAATATTTGTTTTTGAAAAACAATAGACTGGGTACGGGAATTCTGGGATTCTGCACCATCATTTACCTCCGTGAAATTTTGGACAGCTGAATTTAAAGGTGGTCAGCTTGGCCAATCCAAAAACTACAACCACGACGATAACATCGCTCGAGTTCTACAAATCGTGCTAAACAATTGTCGAATTAAAGAGAGAGGGACAGCAGAGGCTGTGAATATGTCCAAAGAATATGTCTGTAAGATGTTGAATCAAGATTTAGTCATGAGAAAGCCGTACGCGCGTTAGGTGCCTCGTTTGCTCACGTTAGTTCAAAAACGTGTTGGAATGAACATTTCCAACGTTCTGTTTAGGCGCAATAAATCCCAGAAACAAAAATACAGTCAAAACAGTGGACTGCGAAGGGGGAATCGGCTCCAAAACAAGCAAAAACTGGTTTTTCATCTGGGAAGGTTATGGTGACTGTTTTTTGGGTTAGTCGTGGAGTTATCTTAATCCATTGTCTTCAAGAAGGAAAAACCATTGCAGGAGCATACTACGCATCTTTACTTGAAAAGGTGAAGGCAGAAATTGCGGAAAATTGCCACATTTGTAGAAAAAAAAATTGTTGTTTCACCAAGATAATGTGCCGTAATCACACCTCAACGATTTCTTGGCAAAAATCCACGAATTACGGTTTGAACTGCTTGACCATCCTCCTTACTCACCAGATTTAGCCCTGAGCGACTTTTTTTGTTCCCTAAGCTAAAAGTTGCGCTTGGAGGACCGAGATTTTCGTCAAATGGGGAGGCCATCACCTTCGTAAACAAATATTTTGCGAGAAAAGATACCAAGTATTGAAAAAAATTGAAACTGTTATAACTTTTTTATATAAAAAAAATATATCTATTTCTCTGAAGAGATAGTTTACATTTTTTAGAATAGATTGAAAAAATATATATAAAATTCGTTCATTTTTCTGCTTGTTACGATTTTTTAAATTTCTGAAATCATCCCTTAATTTCTAGTCTCTCTAACTCTGTTAATTTAAATAGTACAAGAAAAAGTCAATAGACCATTTTTATGTAGAATTTTATGTTCTAAAACTTTTATAAGAAACTTTTTTTCTAATCCTTGCCCCTTTTGAGTTATATTGAAAAACCCCTTTATTTTATATTTTTTCACTCCTGGTGGGGGTTGAAAACAAAATTACTATCACTTATTGTTATTATATACCTCAAGCTAACTTATGTCTCAAAAGTTCAGGCAAGTTGATCAAAATTGCAATTTAAAGGCCCAATTAATTGGACTGTATGTATACCTTCACTAGTTCGTCACATCTACCCAGCAACAATAGCAAAAACAGCAACTACCTAAACATGAAACAATAATTTATACTCTGCGGTCGAAATTATAGAGTGATTCATCGCTAGCTTTTGGACTAGTAAGGGGGATGAAGCGTGCCGGGAACGAAAATCCATTGGCGTGTCTGCGTAAAAGGCAACAAGATATAGAAAATAATGAAAAAAGATAATGAAACATAACATCTAATATTTTTTTACGGTTTGCTATAACAGGCACTTTGATCCATTTTAATTATTACAGCATTTTAAAACGTCCCAATTGTGTTTTTTTAATTTATAAATTTATTATAGCCATGGAATTAGACCCCTCGTCTACGCTTATGCTATGACGTTTCTCAGGACGGGTTAAATCAAGTCCGTTTACACCCACTAAAAAAGCATTTCCCTATTCCCTACCAAGTGCAAAAGACAGAGATAGAATATAGATCGACGTTCAGTGTAACTCGGTCTCTAGACGATTATAGATTCTATCGATGTGCGTAGCGAGCGGCACAAAGATAAATAATATTGAACCGTTTAAAAATCATTTTATATTTTATATGCATTATGGTAATAGTGTTTTTATATTATGTCTTAGTCACTCTCTATAATTTCGACCGGGGAGTATAGTAAAATATTGTTGTACTACAGCACTGAAAATTTACATTTTAACTTGCTACTGTCCTCCATATTTAAAATAAATCAGTATTTATTCTTCCTCTGAGGCAGTTAAAGAATATTTCCCGAAGACTGTAAAAATAATTAATTTTTTCCTAAGAAAGTCCTCTAACAAAGTCCTATCAAAATTCAAATAGTGTTCTTTGATACCAAAAATCGATCTATCTCACATACAACAGGACTCCTAAGTGTTGGTATTGCAGGAAACGACTACTCTATGTGCCACATGTCCCAGTTAGTATTGAATTACACCAACAATATTTAGTAACTAGCTGGTAATAAATTATTACGCAAAATATAACCTAAAAATGATGTTTAAATGTAATTAAAACAAAAAACGCATTTGACACATTGAAATTGTTAAACAATGCAGTCATTAAAAGAAATATCTTTTGTTTTTGTTGTTCTAACGTCATCTAATTATAAAATGTATATTTAAAAGAAAAAAATTAAAAAACAATGTCTTAGAAGCTGAGAGGTTTTAAAAAAAATATTGTTGGACAAAAGTTGAAAGTTTTATGAAAATATTTTTTTGCTGATTTTTGGTACGCCGATCTATTAAAAAATACTATTATTGAGGCAAATGTTGAAAATAAACTAAGTTAATATCATTTTGCATTACATAAGTATTTTGGTTTTTGAAATCAGATAAAAATAGTTATAGTTTGTGGCATTATTTTACAAGACGCCTGGTATAAAGTTATATACACCCACTTTATATACAGGCTCTAACTTTGAATGAAGGTCATACTTATACCGAGGCTTGCTTCCTTCAGAAACATGTATCAACACATTTATTTTTTCAAATTCCTCCTTGAAAAACTTTTTTTTAAAACCTATTTTAGTAATTTTTGTACCCGCCACTGGTCAAGCTAATGTAACCTCAAATAACTCCGCGCTTTAGTCGCAGCGCATGCGTAATTGGGAATTGGTCTCTGCATTGTTGTTAAATCTCGTACTTAAAGGAAAGGTTATTAAAAAAACAAATTTCCTGTTTACTCATATGACTTTTATAACACTTCTCTGAATTTATTCCCGTCCAATATTAGCATATTGGCGTTCAAAGCTCGCACAATCTCTTAAATGTGTAACCTCCCACTTTTAACTATGTGGACCTCAGGACACAGTTTGTTTGTTGACCCGCACTATCTCCCTCCGTGTGCATTGTAGGTTGCCAACAATCTTGTTACAAATACGTGTATATTACATTGCATATTAAAAACTAATTATAACTCGAGTATTTATTTGATTAAAAAATAAGAATTTCAGGGGAACACGTACTATTACCCCTAAAAAACTCGCCCCAACTTAAAGTTACAAACTGTATATTTTTTTAATCACGATTTCTTAGACTAAACAGGAAACTTAAAAAAAGGAAAAGGTAAAAGATATTATATCCACAAAATTTGTAATGAGGGTCAGTACAGATTAGCGTCAAGGTTATTTGCAGTACAGCACTTATCTCTTAATTGGGCATCTGCTTTAAAATATAAAATAAAAGTAAATATATCAAATTGTTCAGTAGCTGATACCGATGCTAGCTAAAGAAAAAAATCCAGCTATCCAGAAAGGATTGTTTGAAAAAATTTGTGCCGAAAGTCCTTTTGATTTTTAAATATTATTTACAACTATTTAAATATTTGATGCATATATTTTCATAGTAAATGAATATGTAATACACCCTGTATTATTTTTTTTGTACGCACCTATATTTAGATCAAATAATAATAGACTTGTTCTGAAAGCATTAAATAATAAAATCGTGTTTCCAATTGCCTATAAGCATTTATAGAATGTAAACATAACAATTATCTACACAGGAAAATATTAATTTTGTCATTTATCTTTCCAATGATAATAGCATGACGTGCATGTGACCGATGTACATATTTATAATTTCAATTGCATCATCGAAATTTTGAAGACCTTCCAGTTATGATCTAATTTTATAACTGCTTGTTTTTTTATAAAAAAATATGTTTTCACAAAAATTCACTTAATACGAAACAAAAATTCTGTTTTATTTTATCTTAAAATTATCTCGCTTTTAATTGTGATTAATGATATCTTTACCGAAATTAGATGGGAGGAACATTGCTTCATAATTTTGGTACTTTAGTCTTTTTCCACATTATTGTTTTATATACAGGGCTTGCGTTTGAAAATTTTAAAAGTGTGGACCACTTAAAAACAATGATAAATCCTGTCGTTTCAAATCTATTGATTAATTTTCGAGATATTTAGACAGAATCAAACCAAATCGTGTTTAAGTTTTGAAATTGAATATCTTTTTTTACACGAAATATGATTGTAAAACAATTTAAAAGTGCTACAAAATAAAATATAAAAACATTTAATAAGTAGAGGCAAAAAACACTAAAAAATAACTAAAACTACATAAAAACAATACAAACCTTGGAATACAAAAAAGCAAAATATTAAAATGATACAAATAACAAAAATAACAGAAAAGGTACAAATAAAAGAGAAACAAAAATATGTATCTATTGAAAACATGTTTTTGTCAATCACATTGCAAGATAATACTGAAAGTCTCCATAATATGTATTATAACTGTTTAACGTTTGACATAAAGGCGACTTTATAATAGAATATTGGTCTGCGCAAAAGGTAATGTCCTGGAGCCCCACATTAGGCACCATGTCGTGGAATACGTTGATTGGCCGCAGAGTTTTCGGACGTCAACGCCCCAGCGTCTTGTCCTGTAACTCTGTTGGGCGCCGGTATTAACCTCTCAACATCATCTTTAAGCAGTGGCGGCTATCTTTACTTCTATACCATACCAGGAAGGGCAGAAATATTTAAGTAAAAATATTGAAAAAAAAATCAAATTTGATAGTTTTACCTTAAGTACTATTAAAATATAAGGAAAATAAGGAATAATAAGGATAATAAGGAAAATGGCTCAACATTATTTTTTAGTGTTTTTGTCGGAAAGAAATTAATCTTAACTAGCTACTTTTTTATTAAAGTTTGGTATTTCTCGCACTACTTCACTGATTTTTCAGTAGATAGCATTACAATGCTGTTGGTCTGTCTAGTTTTACTGTTAAGTATTTTAAAAAACACAAGAAACAATATGCAACTAACAAAATTTTACACCACACCTGAACAAATTACGTTTAATAAGAAAATACAGCTGTAAAAAGCTATTTGGTTAGGGGCGAACTAAACAGAGCCCAAACTGCATAGTAAATATGCGCCACTCCGTCTTTCACTGCTGCGAGACGATAACCATGACCACCGCTATAAACACTACAGATTTAGGGGCGAATTACGGGGAGCCCAAGTATTCAGTGTTTCAAACCTACAGCCTCCCGCACCAGCCGCCACTGTCTTTAAGAAAGGCATTTTATAGACAGGAAATCGCACTTTTAGTACAATAATGATTTTTCACTAAAATCAATAATTATCTTAATTTTTTTTACAGAAATTAAGTTTTATCCGACTGTTCCTTTTTCAGGTGCTGGAGTTGTAACCACTAGGGCGCATGCCCACTACGTAGTAACCGAGCACGGCATCGCCTATCTATTCGGCAAATCCCTCAGACAAAGGGCGCACGCTTTGATCAACATCGCCCACCCTGATCATAGAGAAGCACTAGAGAAAGCCGCTTTCGAACGCCTTAAAGTTATGCCATCTCCTTAAAAGCAAACTCTTATTTTAAAGTAATATTTTTATTCCAATTATTTTTTACATTGTATTATACGAAAAGTTGTGTATTTTGTTTTTTTTTTTAAGTAAACAAATTGATGAAAATGTTTTTATTAAAATGAAAATAGACATGTACGCTTGATGCCAATAAACGAGTTTTCAAAATTTTTTTGTACCTGACAATGTGAGAAAAAAATTGAAACTAGTGCAAGAAGAAGAAGATATTTGTAGCATGTAGCATTTACAAATAGGTAAGTATAAATATTTTTTGAAAAATCCGGAAAAGCTTAAAGAAAAAAGGTAGTTATTTAATATAATGTGAAACTTGACACGAAATTACATGAATTTGAAGTTATTTTCATAATCTACGAATTATTATTTATGAATAGCCGAGTTATAATTAGTATTTTTAAACTACCCTTTAACTCTTGTCTACGCCGTCACTGGCCAGCACCCGAAACCGAGTTGATACAGAGTTGCTAGTTGTTGCCGTTTTAAAGCAACTGTACGGAAGTAACAGTGCCATTGCTTTGAACTAGTTGAGTGAACAGTACTACGGTCACTTTACATATTCCAACGAAGTAAACAATTGCACGCAACCACGTCGTGGCCTTAAAAGTAGATAGGCGTGCATTAGGAAAGCTAAAACGGGTGCTGTTAAAAAGTTATAAAATTCTAAACAAAATCAGTATATTTTTTCCGATTGTTTCTTATTCAGCCATTTAAACATCTTAAATTAATCCAAAACAACGTCCAACAACAACAACTTTAAACCGCGAATGATACGCACGAAATATACGTTTTGAAGTACGATTCTGAATCTAAGGTCGAGGATTCAATACATTTTGACCAATAGTTTCGCAGGTGCATGTGCTTGATCATTGTTTACACGATTGGAATATGCATGTTGACGTTATGATATGAACATGGGCAAAAAAGAAACGGCAAGATATCTTGACAGATTTCTGCATAAAGTTAAGTTTTGTTTCTATAGTAAATAAATAAAAATTTAACCTGACCTAACCAATTTCATGTAAAAATGTGTCTGTTTATATAAAGTTAGGTTAGGTTAGGTAAAATTTTTATTTATTTAATATAGGGACAATATACAACATCTAGCAAAATGAAACTAAACAGTGTTTAGGTTTTTAATTATTTTAAATCTTATATCGGTAAGTCCATGATTGCGTGAACTTTTTTTTAGAATCAAACGAAAAGTGCTTATGTTCTGAAATTTTATACCGATGAGGCGTTGATTGCGTGAATGACCTTTTTTTTAATAAAAAGGACCTCCATAGAGCTTGCTGTCCCAGGCCCCACCATAAGTTAATACGGCCATATACAGCGTGATGATAAAGTTTGGAACAAAATTCATAACTTTTATACTGAGTGATTTAAAAAAAAAACGCCGTGACAGGTCGAGTTTGTTCTCGGGAGGGACATTTTTTAAGATGATCAGTTATATACAGGGTGACCCAGAAAAGATTTCTTATGGACCACTCTGTATATTTTTTCATATTCGGATAAAGCTTAAAGCTTTCTCTTACGAATACAGTGATGGGTCTATCTCAAATAACAAGCGAGATATGGCTAGAAAATGACATTTATTTAAAAAAAATATTTAATGTCATTTTTCATAAGAGAAATTGTACTTGGAAACGAAACAAATGCAAATAATTAACGAACAAAAAAACGAAAGAAGTTTGCAAGTTCAGCAATAAAAATTAGGGTTATTAAATTTCGGTTGTTGGTCGTTCCTTAAAAACAAAAACACCACTGTTGTAGCGTGACAATTTCACAAATTAGTACGTTATTATTATAACCTTAATAAACTTAACCTTAACCTTAACAAATTTATCATTGAATTTTTTGGAGCTTAGAAGGAATAGCACATTTAACAAAACGTGAAAGGATAGAGATCTTAATGATGATGGTTGGACATGGTGATAAGCTACGAACCCATGTGAAAGCATGTGAGCTGTTTAATCACACATGCTGACAAACCACCAGTTGCAGGATCTATAGTAGGATCGTATTCGATGCAAAGTAGAGCAACAAATTGTCGGTTTTTTATCAAAGGAAAATCGTGTCGTCATTTTTAGGACGCGTAAGATGAACCATTTCCAATTTTAAATGAAATTGAATGTAAAATCTGAAATACTGCATCATACGCATTGTGCTCTGGTAGTAGCTGTAGTCGCCCAGGTGCATCGAGTGTACAAAGTGGTTGGTTATATCTCAAATTCTAACCTGGTGAATTTGGTCGTAAATCAGAGAACGCCTCCAAAAAACAAATAAACAACAGTGGCGCGTACAGATGTGAAATGTAATACATATGTGGAATTTAAAAAACAAAAATTGGATTTATAATAAATTACATTTAAAATAAATAGTTTATGAGAATAAGGGAGATGCCTTTGTTTTTCATTTTGTCCTTCATAAGTATATAATTGTTAATCCATAATGCATAAAGAAATTAATCAATTTCTAAACCCCTTAAAACCGTACCGCACTGGACCCTTGACAGGCAACGATGTGTTACCACATATGTGGTATTACTTTGCATCGAATATGATCCTACTATAGTAATCTTGTTAAAGAGGAAGACAAACAAATGAGAGTGGGGAAAATTTAAGACTATCACGGACACATTGACATCATGAAACGATATAGTCGATTTAATGTCAAGGAATAATAAATACATATCTTCAAATTTCTAAAAATGTTTCCCCTTATTGGATACCTAATTACATGTGTTTTAAAAGATGTATAGATCACTCATTATCAACGTCGTCAGATCTAAGAATACGGTTATAATATGGAGGTAAAAATGCAATAAATATTGGTATGGCTAATTTGTTGGATCTGAGAGTATTACAGTTAAATTATTTCTATGTTTGGTATAACGACGATTTAAACTTCTAGACGATTCTAGAAACGAGCTTTCTTCAGTAGAAACTGAAGATTAAGTCATCTAGCCTGTATTGGCCACACTTGTGTGTATTGGATTTCCACTCATTGGTTTTTATGTATGAGTCGTTATCAATAAATTTCAGGTAGTTCTTCATCTCTATTGAAATTATTTTGATTTTTCAGGACTTATATCTATGCTTCTTGTTAAAATATTGGTCAACTATTTTGGTATTACCTACTTAGATCTATTGAGTATCTGTTCTGCACTCTGATGATTTCTATGTTGGTAACACTTGTGGTTCTTTAACCTCGTGCTAACATTCCTGTCTGTTTATCCAATGTATATTTTGCTGCATGTGCATGCACACGAGATACTGCAGAACTCCCTGATATGTACGTTCTTGTAGCTCGTCTTGGAAGAGGCTTATCCCATCGTCCTTGAGGTGTAGACGATACTAATATTGTATTTTCTAAAGAAACAGCATATTTTAACAACGCTGATAGGGTAGATATATGTTGTCAGATTTTTCTTGTCTTATCTTGGTGTTAGGCTTTCTACTGATGGATATAGCTATAAGCTGGATGGTGATGAAACTCAGTCTTCAGATAGATACCTATCTGTATTGGCTTCTTTGTAAACATTATGCCTTTAGGGTACCATCCAACTTCCTCTTAACAAAGACATCTAGGAATGGAAGAGTACCGTTTTATTTTAACTTCATGGTGAAGCGGATCCGGATGTATTTCGTTAAAGAATCTCAATCAGATTTTATCTCAACAAGGCAACTAAGTCCTTTTACTCTCAAATAGCCAATATGATATCAATCGGCCAATGCTCTAAATATTAGTCATTAAAAAGATTCAAATACATAAATAATAAAAACCTGAACATACTTTATTGAAAACTAATATAATCAACTTATGTTATTATGTATACACTTCCTATACCATTTCTACGACCTTATCAATATATTAAAATCCTCAATAAGAGGTGGGTAGGTACACATAAAATATAACCGGCTTATATTACTGTGGGTATAACATTTCCAAGTCATCCTCTATGTAACCTTCAAAGTTATCGTCTATATCTTTCATTTTGTCTTCGATTGACCTCAGCCTCCTCAGTTCCCCACGTATCTTTTCTAGTTGGTCTGTCTTCCAAGCTTTCAGTACGTTGATAGCCCGATGTTTAGAAACAGTATCTGGAGGAAGACCATAATTAATTTTCAGTTAGGTGCATGCGTTTGAATTCATGGAAAATCAAAATTTGGGAGATGCAAATTTTGATTCACTATTGCAAAATGTTTAGTTTAAAAAGGTACTAATAGGTTAAAGAATAAGTGGGTGTCTTTAACATATTTTAATATAGGTAGCTACCAAAGAAGCTGGTAAACCTCGTAAAAACGACATTAAAAAAATAGTGCGGTAAAAGTAAATGGAAAAAATGCAAGTTGCAAAAAAGTTGCAACGTGTTTTTCACTTTTTTTACTGCGCATAGACGAAAATCTAGACGATCTATCGGCAAATCAGTCATTATACAGGGTGGCCAAATGAAAACGAAACAGAGCCATTTTCAGAAACTGCGTCAAGATTGTAGAAAAACGCTCAGAACCGTCGATGTTAGATTAAAGGGAGACATTCTTTGCTGGTATTTTTGACTCCGCCACTTTCACCGCCAAGCAAGGATAAGCATCACCCCAAAATATTTAAATGGCATTGGGGGTTCAGTAATATTTCTTTTGAAAGCTCTTACAATTCTCTTTACAACAGATTTTAAATTTTATAATTCCTCCCAATACTTTGAAAAAAAAATTAACATTTTAAAATATAAATTATGTTTAGTTGCTGTTCAAACTGATAACCGCCCGCTTCCATACAAGAATAAATATTTTGTTCGAAACGTTCGCGCACATTCCGAAGCATTTCCGGAGTGATTCGACGGCATTCGCAAATCTTCCAGCGACGCTGGCTGTGTTTTATAGATTTTAATTTTTAGGTATCTTCACAAAAAGAAATCAAGGGGCGATAAATTCGGTGGTCGTGGAGGCCACTCAATGCTGCCTCTTCTCCCATTCCAATTCCGTAGAAACCGTCCTATTGAAAAATCAAATGATCTTCATCATACTCTGGAACATTTTCAATAATATCAGTCAAGGCAGGGTCAATAGCGTCTTCCAGTAATTGCAAATACATTTGGCCAGTCAAATTACAAAGAAGAAAAAAAAGGACCCATCAGCCGGTCACCGAAAATTTCAGCCCATACATTTAATTTTTCCGGTTGCTGTGTGTGCACCTCGTGAAAAACTCTTGGGTTTGAATCGGACTAATAGCAGCAATTGTGACGATTTACCGTCCCGTTCAAGAAAAAACTGCATTAATCAGAAAAACAGATGTTAAAAAGGAACTGTGGATTGTTCCCTGCTCGCTCACTCATTATTTTGCAAAATTGCAAAAAGCGGACATAATCATCCTCATGAAGTTCCTGGACTAAATGTATTTTGTATGGATGGAATTTATTCTTCTTCAAAATGGTTTGTATGCTAGTTCGATTGATCCCAGACACAGATGCCAGCTGCCTTGTACTTAATGTAGAATCAAAATGAACTTGTCCCAAAACTGCAACTTCACTAGCTTCATTAACTATAGGTTTTTCAATTTCTCGTTTTTTATTGGCTACGTTCCCTGTCTCTTGAAATTTTTTTACTAACTCTAAAACATACTTCCTCCTGACATGTCGATCTTCATGTTGTTCATTAAATAGCTGAGCTGTTCTATTCGCACATTTATTGTTCATAAAGTAAAGCGAAATAATATCTACCCTTTCCACAATGGAATAAACCATACCTAGTGTTTAATTTTCAAAAACACAATTAAATAAACTACCAACCAACGTTTCCAAATAATACTAGAAAATAATTTGGAATCCACTAATTTTACGTACTTAACTCGAATGACTGACATTTTTACCGTTACTAATTGTACATAAGTTTCAACTTTAAAATCAAAATTCTTAATAAGTATTGGGCGGAATTATAAAATTTAAAGTCTGTTGTAAAGGGAATTGTAAGAGCTTTCAAAAGAAATACTACTCAACCCCAATGCCATTTAAATATTTTGAGGTGATGCTTACCCTTGCTTTGGAGTGAAAGTGGCGGAGTCAAAAATACCAGCAAAGAATGTCCCCCTTTAATCTAAAATCGACGGGTCTAAGCGTTTTTTTTTACAATCTTGACGCAGTTCCTGAAAATGGCTCTGTTTAATTTTCATTTGGCCATCCTGTATATTGTTGCACATTGTTCCTACTGACTTCTAAACACTGACGGTATTATTATAACGTTGTGAGTTAGCATACACAAGTAATAGAATCAATGAGCTCATACCTGAAATTTTACATGTGGTCTCTTGCACAGAGAGATCCAGAATGATTGAAGTGTTTGGAGATCGCAGCCTGTGCCTGTCTCTGTCAATACTACAGATTTTTATATGCTAAAAGTGGTGTTAGAAACAGGCTGCGTTCCCCAAACGCTTCAATCATTCTGGATCTCTATATTATAGATCAATCCTTTAACTTGTTGTAACATGTCGCGTTCTAATAAGCCACCTTTCAACTAGGAATCAACTAGGAATATTTGCGACATTTTCTTACCAAGGTTCTCGATAGACTGAACACCGGCAGCCTTCTTGATGTTCTCCAGCTCGTCCTTAGCCTCAGCGGACGTCATCGACAATTTCGAATCCTTCGATGCCACAGTAGCTGGGCATTTATTAATCATTTCTTCGTAATTTAAGGAGAACGGCATGGTCTTTACTACCATCGACTGAGTACCTAAAGCTCCGTCGACGTAGTGAACGGTTTGGTCAAGTTTGGTGATGCCGGTTAGATCTTTGGCTAGATCGGCGTATTGGTCCAGAAGGATGTTCTCGATGAGGTCGATGCAGATCTGCACGTCCTTGGGATGGTCGCCCTGGCGGGTGTGGATGGTTTTCAGGAAAGCCAAAGCCCACTGCAGCTGGGAAATGCCTGGAATTTAAGGAACAGACATTCCCAGGAAAGTTACTAGTTGCTTGGGCGGTGAACTGAGGTTAATCTTTCATAGACTTATGGTCGTGCCAAAATAGTAGGGAGTAGAGTCATAAAAAAATCAAACAACAATTGTTACTACTTCTTAATTCGACGAAATAACATTGTGTAATCTCCCCATGGAAATTGTAATGTACGGTTCATTTCGCAAAGTGTTCCGATAATATGCAGAGTGGAAAGTTAAAGTTTAAGTTAAATAAAGGTTGGCCCCAACATTCCTAATAGCTGTTTTATATTGACAATTTATTGATCAATTAATTCATGAAGTCGCTTCATCAAGAAATTGGACAAGTGTAATGCACCAAATCTGCTGTCAAATAACTTCATGAATTCATCAAGTTCTTGACGAATTAGAGCATGTTCTAATTTTCGTCAATTTCTTCGTGAAGTTCGGAAGTACCAACCCAACAGATTTCCAGCCTCAGATCAGTAATGAGGTTATGTTATTGGAATATGTAAATAATTGTGTGGCGTCGTGCTAGTTTTGCATTGTTTTTACTGATTTGTTACTTACAAAAACTATAATATTTATATCATATGTGTCAGAACGGTACCGCTGTTGTGTCACTACAATTATGAGTGGAAAGGTCACATTTTTGAAATTTATTTGCTTCTTTAATTCATTGGTAGAACTGATTCATACGTCAAAAAACTTGACATAGTCTGTAGCAGTGTAAAACCACACTGTTTACCAATAAATTCGTGAATTAATTCATGAAAAACTTCGTCAATTTATTTATCAATAAATTGTCAATGTAAAACACGTCAATTTTTATTTTCAATGGGGCATATTACAAAGAGGTTTGGTTATTTATTAAGTTACAGGATTTATTCCAGTTAAACCTTCTACTCTGTATCTACTTCGTACATTGAAATGACAATTTGTTCATTTGTTCTCTATTCAATGGTTACATGAAGGAAATATGGTCTCCAAGGCTTGGCAAGATTCAAACATCAACAACAGGAAAAGAAGCATTTTTACAAGGTTTTACTGTGAGATTAAAAGCAGTCTCTAGGAAAGAACGACGATTAATATACACCTATTGGAATATAATCTACGTGTGTTCAAATCATGACGCACAGAAGCTTAGCGTGAAGATATGGATAGCGGGTACCAGAAAAATAGTTTGTGTCTATATTGCCTGACATTGAACCTGGTGCAGTGATTGTCATGAAAAATTACCAAAACCCGCATGGAAAAAAGAACAAATCAAGAAATCGTTGAATGGAAACTATATTTAGTATAAAGACATTATGTTAAAAGTACAATTATTAGCGATTGCACAAAAAAGAAATCAAATACATGGACAGTGGATGAAAGAGTAAAAATGAGGGTAATTTACTATTGTGATCACATTTTTTAAATTTTCTAGGCACCTCATACATGGCATGTTAATATTCACCTTGGCGACCTCATTTTAAATACAAGCAGAACTTTTTACAGTGAGCTTTTTTCTGTAAAATGTAACATAAAAGTGTTTTCCTTTTATTCACTCTAACCCTGGACATGCAAAGTTGATACGTCTTCATTCTTATCAGTACAGTGAGAGAAATATTATTTAGCCTTAAATAGNTAAGGAATCATTGAATGGAAACTATATTGTGAGCTTTTTTCTGTAAAATGTAACAATAAAAGTGTTTTTCCTTTTATTCACTCTAACCCTGGACATGCAAAGTTGATACGTCTTCATTCTTATCAGTACAGTGAGAGAAATATTATTTAGCCTTAAATAGAAATTGTTTAATCCTAACAAAATATCTGCTTTAAGGAGGTATATCGGATTTATTCAAATACACAGATGTACTTGAAATTTATATAGCGTATAACCCAGTGCTCCCTCTGTGCGTCATATTTTTTTGAATTTTTTGTTTGAATCTAGATTTTGAGATATTGTTGTTGAAACTTGTTCATTTTAATATAGGTTTATATGGCGAAGAATGGACGGTGCGGCTCTTTTTTTGTCCATAACTGAGAAAAAAATTTAGAAATTTTGAAACAAAACTTTTCCATAGATAGTACACAGTATTATCTTATTTTTGATGTAAAACTAATGAAAGTTTTGAAACAAAACTTTTCCATAGATAGTACATAGTATTATCTTATTTTTGATGTAAAACTAATGTAAGTTTTGAACATAGTGCAGCTGTATTAATTAGAAACAGAAACCAATAATTGCATTTCTGTCCGATTTGAGGATTAATGTGGCAACGTCGCAATCAGCTGACAGCAAGGAGGGAATACATTTGAAAGACTTGATAAAAACGAAATTGATTTCAAACATATACATTTTTCCTAAATCCCATGTACATT